GAAAATTGGCCTGGGCAGGAAGGGGGTGAAAGTGCCCAGTAGGCAAGTGGTTAATTAAGGCTGACCATCACATCTCTGACCATCCCTACACTCAGCATGACACCTCTGATCATCCCTACAGAGGTGGCGTGCTGAGTGTGGGCATGGGCAGAGGTGGCGTGCTGGGCGTTGGCATGAGCAGGGGTGGTGTGCTGGGTGTTGGCATGGGCAGAGGTGGCGTGCTGGACGAGGGCCTAGGCAGATGTGGCATGCCACCTCTGATCATCCCTACGCTCAGCAATCACAAAATACAATGCTGTGTGTGGATGTGGCGTGTTGTCATTGATATGTCCTGTATGGTGGTCCGGGTCCTGAGGCCGCCTGCTGTGTGTGTGTCCTGCAACAGAGTATCCAGGCGTCGGGTGATATGAATTGCACATCCCTGAAGTAGGCTCATACCGCTCTAATTATTACATACAGTGTCTCATATCACTTTATTATACACATTCCTCATACCTCTATTATATGTAGTATCTCATACCACTCTATTATACACTGTGCCCTTTACCACTATTACACACAGTGCCCCATACCTTTGTTACAAACAGTGTCTCATACTGCTTTACAGTTGCAAGAAAAAGTATGTGAACCCCTTGGGATTACGTGGAGTTTTGCATGAATTGGGCATAAAATGTGCTCTGAACGTCATCTAAGTCACAACAATAGAACACAGTCTGCTGAACATAATACTACACAAACTTTAGATGTTGCTATGGTTTAATTGCACATAACATGTAAACATTCACAGTGCAGGGAGGAAAAAGTATGTGAGGCCCTAGCTTAATGACTTCTCCCAGAGCTAATCGGAGCCAGGAGTGAGCCAACCTTGACTCCAATCAGTGTGATGATATTGGATGTGTTGCTGACAGCTGTCCTGCCCTTAAAAAACACACACCTGTTTTGGGTTTACTGGTTTCAAGAAGCACTGTCTGGTGTGAACCATGCCTGGCAGAAAAGAGCTCTCAGAAGACCTACGATCAAGAATTGTTGACTTGCATGAAGCTGGAAAGGGTTACAAAAGTATCTCCAAAAGCCTTGATGTTCATGTGTCCACAGTAAGACAGACTGTCTACAAATGGAGAAAGTTTAGCACTGTTGCTACTCTCCCTAGGCATGGCGTCCTGTAAAAATGACTGCAAGAGCACAGCGCAGAATGCTGCATGAGGTAAAGAAGAATCCCAGAGTGTCAGCTAAAGACCTACAGAAATCTCTGGCACATGCTAACATTTTTGTTGACACATCTACAATAAGGAAAACATTAAACAAGAATGGAGTACATGGGAGGACACCACAGAGGAAGCCATTGCTGTCCAAAAAGAATATTGCAGCACGTTTGAAGTTTGCAAAAGAGCACCTGGATGTTCCACAGCACTACTGGCAAAATATACTGTGGACAGATGAAACCAAGATTGAGTTGTTTGGGAAGAACACACAACACTATGTGTGGAGAAAAAAAGGCCCAGTACACCAACATCAAAACCTCATCCCCACTGTAAAACATGGCAGAGAGAGCATCATGGTTTGGGGCTGCTTTGCTGCCTCAGGGCCTGGACGGATTGTTGTCATTGATGGGAAAATGAATTCCAGAGTTTATCAAGACATTTTGCAGGAAAACGTACGACCATCTGTCCGCCAACTGAAGCTCCACAGAGGATGGGTGATGCAACAGGACAATGACCCAAAGCATACAAGTAATTCAACAAAACAATGGCTGCAACAGCACAGAATACGCCTTCTGGACTGGCCCAGTCAGAGTCCTGACCTCAACCCGATTGAAATGCTGTGGCATGACCTTAAGAGAGAGATTCACACCAGACATCCCAAGAATATTGCTACACTGAAACAGTTTTGTGAAGAGGAGTGGTCCAAAATTGCTCCAGATCGTTGTGCAGGTCTGTTCTGCAACTACAGGAAATGTTTGGTTGAGGTTATTGGGGTTCACATACTTTTTCCTCCCTGCACTGTGAATGTTTACATGTTATGTACAATTAAACCATGGCAACATCTAATGTTTGTGTAGTATTATGTTCAGCAGACTGTGTTCTTCTATTGTTGTGACTTAGATGACGTTTCAGAGCACATTTTATGCCCAATTCATGCAAAACTCCACGTAATCCCAAGGGGTTCACATACTTTTTCTTGCAACTGTATGCCTCTTTTACATACAGTGCCTCATACTCTTAAATAGACACCATGCCTCATACCTGTTACTAGCAGTGCCTCATACTACTTTACTATACATCATGCATCTATTACACAGTGTCTCATGCCACTTTTATACACAGTGCCTCATACCTCTAGTATATGTAGTATCTCATACTTCTCTATTATACACTGTGCTTTATACCACATATTACACACCGTTCCTCATACTGCTAAATTATACATAATGCCTTTGTTACAGACAGTGCCTCATACCTCTATTATATGCAGTGTCTCATACTGCTTTTTATACACTATGCCTGATACCACTATTACACACAGTGTTTCCTAACTCTCTGTCACACAGAGTTCCTCCAGTGCCACCAAGAAGGTAGGAGACACGGGAACTCAGTTACTCCAGGAAAGTCAGAGGGACTGACAGTGACTGCAGTACTAGAACAGAGGGTATGTAGGAGACATGGGCCGCCAGAGAGGTGAATTTACTACTTGTCTTGCAGGGAAGTACAGGATCATTTATTTTATGAAAAAAGGTCACTTACAGGCATGCTAGAATTGCTTACTATAATATTAGCCGAGAGACCATTTTATCAGTCCCTATGCAGGTACCTTAAATTTTATTGCGACATCATGAGAGTCTATATGTCCAAGGGTAAGGTTACCAGACAGCAGTGGTATCAACCTTTTATTATATTCAAAAGGAGACCGTAAACCTTTCAGCAATATCTTGTGGCCTCCCAGAATCCTCCTCACCTCTCCGGTCAGGTCTGTTTTATTAATAGAGATGAGAGTGACGTCATGTGACCTCCCAGAATCCTCCTCACCTCTCCGGTCAGGTCTGTGTTTTATTAACCACTTCCTTTCCGGACACTTTTACCCCCTTCCTGTCCAGGGCAATTTTCAGCTTTCAGCGCTATCACACTTTGAATGACAATTGCGCGGTCATGCAATACTGTACCCATATGAATTTTTTACCATTTTTTTGAGACAGATAAAGCTTTATTTTGGTGGTATTTATTCACCGCTGGGATTTTTATTTTTTTTGCTATGTAAATGAAAAAGTCTAAAAATTTTGAAAAGTGTTTTTCTAATAAAATTTTGCAAATAAATAATATTTCATCATAAGTCTTGGCCAAAATTTATTCCGTTATTTTTTTAGTAAAAAAAAAAAAAAATCCAAATTAGTTTATAACCAAAAATTATCATTTTTAAACATTTTTTTTTACATTTATTTTTTTATATTATTATTTTTTATTACATACTGTCACCCTAGCAGTACAGTGTCACCATGGTGACACTGTACTACTTGTGGGGGGTGATGATTTTTTTTTTTGTACACTGATTGCTTTTTACACCCCTATAGGATGCAAAAGCAATCATTTCTCTTTCTCTCTGTCTGCATTCTTGCAGTCATTGAGAAGTACTGAGTGAGCTGTGATTGGTCTCAGCTTGTCACATGGTACAACGCTGTTGTGAATAGCCTTGTACCATGTGACCTCTGTGATCATTCATAGATTTCACACGTAGTAAGCTATGATGTCACAAGTGACATCTTGCTTACTACTTTGCATGTGATCACTGATTGGCCAATCAGTGATCACATGATTGGGAGCTCGTACAGAGGTCCTGTCCGACGATCGGTGTTTCACTGTGTCCGGAGGACACAGCGGGCACCGGATCGCGGTGCTGCGCGCTCCCAGGGAGCGCGCACAGCTAGAAAAGGCGGGTGCCGTTTATGAACGGCAACCTGCCCCTGGACTGCCACCGCCCTGCTGTTTATAAACAGCAGGCGGACAGCAAGTGGTTAATAGATAAGAGTGATGTCATGTGATCTCCCAGAATCCTCCTCACCTCTCCGGTCAGGCCTGTTTTATTAGAGATGAGAGTGATGTCATGTGACCTCCCAGAATCCTCACCTCTCCGGTCAGCTCTGTGTTTTATTTAATAGAGATGAGTGATGTCATGTGACCTCCCAGAATCCTCCTCACCTCTCAGGTCAGGTCTGTTTTATTATTAGAGATGAGTGATGTCATGTGACCTCCCAGAATCCCCCTCACCTCTCCGGTCAGGTCTGTGTTTTATTAATAGCGATAAGTGATGTCGTGACCTCCCAGAATCCTCCTCACCTCTCCGGTCAGGTCTGTGTTTTGTTAATAGAGATAAGAGTGATGTCATGTGACCTCCCAAAAAAGTGTAATAGAACACCAAACACACAAATCATAACACACATATCTGTAAAACGTCTCCTTTACTTTCATATTTTATTATCTGAGTCTTGAGTAGAGCGGAAAAGGGTTACCATCTGTGTTAGGTGTGTATCCCCATTGTGGGGAATGTTGCTCATTTCCTGGACCCAGAGACACAACAGAAAGTCCCAAAGTGGGAGGAAACCTCAATAGAACATGGAAAATGTGACTTCTACTTCTACCCTGTTCTACTGAAAGAATTTGGTTCCAAACTTTAATTGTAATTCGGTATAAGAAATATAGCCAACGCGTTTTGGAAGATTTGGTCCCCCCCTTCTTCAGAGCTCAGTATCAGATGCTGCCAAGGAAAAGCTTATAAAACCATTTCAGAGTCTGTGGGTTGTGACAACGTGTCAATGTTGCTTCAATGTGCTAAAGAGAAAAACGCACCTAAAAGGTTTTACCTGGAAAAATGGTGGATTTCCCATCATCGATAGTCACCGGGACAAATAGAGAGTGAGAATCTCCCCTGCAGGCACACAGCTATAAAAACCTGTTGGAGGTTCTGACTCATCTCTGCCCTATCCAAACCCAAAAATTGAAAAGGAGTTGGGTTTAGGGCCGTTCGACATGAATTCGCTGGTGTCTGACCAACACAGATTTATGGGAAAAGGCCTTCCCGCACTCCAGACAGGAATATGGCTTTTCTCCAGAATGGGATCTCTGGTGAACCACCAGGTGTGAGCTATGGGTATAACACTTCCCACACACAGAGCAATGATAAGGCCGCTCCCCAGTATGAGTCCTCTGGTGGGCGACCAGCGCCGTCTTGTGCCGGAAGGACCTGTTACACTCCAAACATGAATATGGCTTCTCCCCAGAATGGATCCTCTGGTGAATGACCAGAAGCGAATTGCGGGAAAAGCACCTCCCGCACTCCGAGCATGCGTAGGGCCTCTCCCCGGAATGGGTCAGCATATGATTGTCCAGCACTTGCCTTCGGGAGAAGGATTTCCTGCAGACTGTGCAAGAGAATGGCTTGTCTCCTGCGTGAATTTTCTGGTGCATGGTGAGCTGCGACTCCATCCAGAATGACTTCTCGCAGTGCAAGCTGGTCTGACATTTGGGCCCCATGTGGATCCGCCGGTGTCTAATCAGCTGCTCTGTCTCATCGAAACATTTTCCGCACTCCGAACAGAGGGGAGAAGGAGACCCCTGGCTTGTCGCCTGGATCTGGGGGATATTGGAGCTGTCGGTGAAGTTCTGCTTGCACCCGTCAGAACTGTAGTCTCCTGAGCTCTGTGATGGTGGCCAGTATTGGGCACCTGGCTGTGTTATCTCACTAAATTCATCTCCGAACCCCATTAACGGATTCCCAGTTACACCCCTATCTTTAGCCCAGTGGGACATAGAGTCCACCTGTGTGTGTTGCTCCAAAGAATCCCCTTTGGCTTCCATATTATCAGCCCTAAAACCTTGAAGGCCTAGCTTTCCTTTCTCATGAGAAATCGATGGATGTCTCTCAGATTCAGAGATGTTCGGGTTTCGGGGTGAGTCCTCTGTCATTTTGGCCAATGGTAGAGTTCTAGGGCTCCAGCAGTCTCCATCCAAGAGGGCTTCTTCCTTTACATTTACCATCGTATAGTCCGCCTCTATATTATCACCTCCCTCAAGGAGATTTTGTTCCTCAGATGGATACGATTCCTTCTTTAAGGCACTGGAGGTCTGTGGCATCTCGGCTCTTCCGGATAAATCTGTTGAGTATGAAGATGGTTGGGTTACTGGACCAATCACATACTGGCAGAAATGCTCTTTCTCTATGCAGTTCCCAATTAACCACTTCCAGTCCGGACACTTTCACCCCCCTTCCAGTCCGGACACTTTCACCCCCCATCCAGTCCGGACACTTTCACCCCTCTTCCAGTCCGGACACTTTCACCCCCCTTCCAGTCCGGACACTTTCACCCCCCTTCCAGTCCGGACACTTTCACCCCCTATCCAGTCCGGACACTTTCACCCCCCTTCCAGTCCGGACACTTTCACCCCCCTTCCAGTCCGGACACTTTCACCCCCCTTCCAGTCCGGACACTTTCACCCCCCTTCCAGTCCGGACACTTTCACCCCCCATCCAGTCCGGACACTTTCACCCCCTATCCAGTCCGGACACTTTCACCCCCTATCCAGTCCGGACACTTTCACCCCCCTTCCAGTCCGGACACTTTCACCTCCCTTCCAGTCCGGACACTTTCACCCCCTTCCTGTCCAGGCCAATTTTCAGCTTTCAGTGCTATCACACTTTGAATGACAATTGCGCGGTCATGCAACACTGTACCCATATTAATTTTTTAGCATTTTCTTGAGACGGATAAAGCTTTATTTTGGTGGTATTTATTCACCACTGGGATTTTTATTTATTTTTTGCTATATAAATGAAAAAAAATCATTCACAGATTTCACATGTAGTAAGCAATGATGTCATTGGATCGTAGTGCTGCGCGCTCCCAGGGAGCGCGCACAAGCAGGGGCCGGGGAGGCCGTTTATAAACAGCCACCGGACCCTGCACTGCCACAGGTGGTTAAAGGGTGACAGAATCTGCATGGTTCGTGACCATGGAAGTCTCTGGCTTGTCTTAGTATCTGGCTGCTCTTCTCTTTCCAGCCTGACCCAGTTCCTTCGTGAGCTCTGTTGACGTTAGTGGAGTGTTCCTGCAAGGCAGACAGCCAGCCTTTGTTCACTTACAGACCATTGCCCTCAGTACCCCTCCAAGGAGAAGTTCTAAAGCCATGGGTGGGGTGTTGGTTGCTGCAGTTACACAAGGCAATTATGTGGACTAGCTGGAAAGAGGCAAGCGACAGGACCCTTTCTGTTTGAAACCCCTGGAGATTGCCCACCCCATGGACATGGTTGACTGGATACTACATAGAGCAAACTGCTCGCTGATTCCCCCCTTGATAACTGGACCTACTCCTGGAGGCTGAGACAGCAGAGACACCCTGGGCACCAGGGTGCAGGTAAGTTACCACTGGTTCTGGACCTGTAGTATCCCAGGACTATGTTCTCCTGCTGGCTTGGATGCAGAAATGTATCATCCTGTCTGCCTGCCATTAGCTGTCTCCAATCTTACCCTAACTGATTGTTTCTTTTGTGACCTGGACTATCTTCCTCTGTACTGTGTGGCCATCTTTGATCCAAGACTTTTGTATAAGGATCTGCACCCAATCTGATAGGAAAGCCTTTCAATAAAGACCATTATACAACTATTACGCCTTATCAGTTTGGTGCTATCCTGAGAGTCTCAAAGCTTCTGTGATAATAAGTACAGGGGAGCGGCCATATTGGCTCCCTATAAGATCATGTAGTACAACACAGTGAATGAAGTTCATTGAGGATGTTATTGTATCACTAAGGGAATCCAAGAATAGATGGAACCATACCAGATGATGTGGGGGTTTCCCGATTCTCCATGGTGACCTTCTTCCAGACCGACCTGGACTCTTCCAGCAGAGCCTGCACGGAGAAATAGACAGTGACATCCTCACCCCTTATAGGAACCTGACACACACAATGATACAGTCACCATCCAGACACATCCCTTGTCTGCTACTGGACAATGTCCCAGAATTCCCGGCACCGCTCACCTCTCCTGTCAGGAGGTCAGTGATCTTCTGGGTGACTTCTAGGATCTTCTTGTCATTGTTCTTCTCAGGTGTGAAAGAGGCAGGTGAAGGATCCATGAAGGGACTTCTACCCCATTCTCCAGACATAGGTGGATACATCCCTTGCAAGAGACCCTCAATGGACACCATCTTCACCACCGCACATTTCTATATAGGGGGAACGATAAGAGTGATGTCATGTGATCTCCCAGAATCCTCCTCACCTCTCCGGTCATGTCTGCTTTATTAATAAGGATAAGAGTGATGTCAGTGACATCCCAGAATCCTCCTCACCTTTCTGGCCAGGTCTGTGTTTTATTAATAAGGATAACAGTGATGTCGTGACCTCCCAGAATCCTCCTCACCTCTCCAGTCAGGTCTGTGTTTTATTAATAGAGATGAGAGTGATGTCATCTGACCTCCCAGAATCCTCACCTCTCTGGTTAGGTCTGTTTTATTAATAGAGATAAGAGTGACATCATGTGACCTCCCAGAATCCTCCTCACCTCTCCGGTCAGGTTTGTGTTTTATTAATAGAGATAAGAGTGATATCATGTGACCTCCCAGAATCCTCCTCACCTCTCCGGTCAGGTCTGGGTTTTATTAATAGAGATAAGTGATGTCATGTGACCTCCCAGAATCCTCCTCACCTCTCCGGTCAGGTCTGTGTTTTATTAATAAAGAAAATAATGACATCACGTGACCTCCCAGAATCCTCACCTCTCCGGTCATGTCTGCTTTATTAATAAGGATAAGAGTGATGTCAGTGACCTCCCAGAATCCTCCTCACCTCTCCGGTCATGTCTGCTTTATTAATAAGGATAAGAGTGATGTCAGTGACCTCCCAGAATCCTCCTCACCTCTCCGGTCAAGTCTGTGTTTTATTAATAGAGATAAGAGTGATGTCATGTGACTTCCCAGAATCCTCCTCACCTCTCCGGTCAGGTCTGTTTTATTAATAGAGAGAAGAGTAACATCATGTGACCTCCCAGAATCCTCCTCACCTCTCTGGTCAGGTCTGTGTTTTATTAATAGAGATATGAGTGATATCATGTGACCTCCCAGAATCCTCCTCACCTCTCCGGTCAGCAGGTGAATGATCTCCAGGGTGAAGTGTAATATCCTCTCGGTCACGGCCTCCTCCATCCTTGGGATAGGTCAGCGAGTCTCACACTTGCCCCTCTAAGCAATACTGAAAATAAGAAGGGAATTCTCTGTCACTCTCTTGATAAATTACATTACACAGCAGTACAGCGAAGGTTAATGTCAGAAGGACCAAAACAAGGTGACAACTTACCGGAAGATGCACCAGACACTTGCAGCTGTTAGCCACACCCACTTCCTGATTTACAGCTCAGCAGCAACAGAACTTCCTTGTTTTGCGTTCCACCTACTTTAGCAACTTCCTGTTGTGTGCGTTCCACCACCTCGGCTCTACCAACTACTTCGATTGATACATTCATTATTGATGCTGCCATCTACTGGTAGACTTTGTGAACTGCATGCTATGTCTGCATAGGGATTCTAGCGAGGACTTCCGCACCCTCTAGCAGGCAAGTGTTGGAACTGCAGGCTACAAACCAGACATGACAACAGTGCAATCACCAGGCTTCTCCTCTTCTTCTTTCAGTTATGTCCCCCTCCAAGAACTGTAGATCTATAATGGATTCCCTAATATTGCTGTAATTCATGTTAAAGGCCAATTAGCCAGATCTAAGAGATTCTTGGGAAACTCTGCTAGACCCTAGGGCAGCCATTCTCAGTCGTTTTAATCTGGAAGGGACCCTTGTAATCACTTTCTGGGCTCAGGGAACAACTGCTTATATCGCAGGGGTGTCAACTGGCTGCCCTCCAGCTGTTGCGTAACTACAAGTCCCATCATGCCTCTGGGAGTCATGCTTGTAACTGTCAATCTTGCAATGGTTCATGGGACTTGTAGTTTGGCAATAGCCGGAGGGCCGCCAGTATAGCCAAAGGTTCCTTTTTTTTTTTTTTATATTAAATCCAAAAATCTTTGTCAGGCAGCACCGCCAGGTCCAAACCTCAGCTTCCTCTACTGCAGCAAAATCAATTCAGCCGGGTCACGCAGCGTCAGTTCATGTATGAACGTCACAGGAAGAGAGGAAATGTCTAGAATAGGGTCCACCCTTAACCACTCTGCTCGAAAACCAAACACACTGGCTGCAAGACAAGATTAAAGTAGGTTGTAAACCCTTACACATACACAGCGACCGGCCTCAGGTGATACACAGAGATGAAACAAATCCTCCTACATAAGTTGTACCTGTTTCAGCCCCTCCAAGTCCAGAATTTATACAGCTTGTCTGATCTTTCAGAAAGCAGGGGTAGAAGAGCTGACGTTACATTCTGCAGAGCTCAGTGAAGAGAACTCTGAGAGCTGATTGGAGAGAATAGACACACCTCCTCCTTTCACACAGCAAAACAGGAACAGAGCTTAAGCTGTCAATCACAGGCTGTGTCCCCTGTCACTTTTTTTTTTTCCTTGGTGTCAGAAAAAAAAACTTGTGATAAGTGATTCATGCTGATAGCAGAGGAAAAGGAGGCAGTGGACAGAAATGACACTTAGTGCTCTGGATTGAGACAAGTACACGCTATAGAGGGATGTACTTTGTTCATATTTCATGTCTGAGGTTTTTAAAAATGAATACAGTATTTCATTATATGGGGGTAGTGTCTATCGTTCTACGCACCTTCATTAAAGAGACGCTGTCCTTTTACCAATGCAAGTCTCTGAAAAGAGCCAAACCTCCTTGTCACGACCCGTGGCCGCCGCCACCAACAGGCGACAATCGCACAGCCGCGACTAACAGTAATACGTCACGCCCACGGCGTCAGACCCCAGACCTTCTCACCAAACTTGTGACCGAAGGGCCGGCCGATCCAAAACCGCGGTGTGACGCGCGTAACAAGGCCCCACCCAGCTGCACCCTACACAGAGATTGCCCAGCTAATGGGCCACAATCGGTGCCTGCAGCCTGAATGCGCTTGTTACTGGGTTGGGTTAATTACACCACTAACCCTCTACTGCCACCACCACTTTTGTCGGAGACTGGGAAACTCCTGTTACCAAATATACACTATAATGATTGAAATATTGATCTATATAGCACGGCCCGCGGACCTGCTATACAGAAATATAACCACAGTAGCGTCTCTTCAAAGGCAGGGATTCGTGAATTGCAAGTAAGCGCTTAGAAACAGTTTAACACTTTCAGAAAGAAAGATTTATTACTAAAAGCGTTGGATGCAAAATAAATATGTACAAAGAGATATCACAAAAAATATATATATATATATAAAAAGACACAGCAAACATAGAATAGCGAGGAAATACAGGGTAAGTTACTTGCCTTGCCTGGTTTTAGCAAATTCAAGTTGTGAGCCGAAAGGTTCTTTGATCTCCTCTGTTACGATGTTACCTCGGAGATCTCTGTGTGTGTCAGAGTCTCTCTAACTCAGTTAAAAGTCTTAAAGGTCCCTCTCAAAAGGGGAGGGGGGCTCTGACTTGGGAGTGGTCATTGGGAAACTCTACACTAAATTACTAGCTTCATATCCCGTGATATGAACCATACAGTTGACCTCAGGACTGTGCACTTATTCTGGTCGGTTTGATAATGAGTGGGCTTACATAGTTTTGGGTGATAAAAATGACACCTTTGTAGACAGCGTGTCTCCACTTCTAATATCTTAGAGTGTTCCACCTCATCTGCCAGGAGATAAAGTCTGCCTCACAGGAATGCAGGGGGGATGTGAGGATCCCAGGAAGACCTCAAATACACAGACAGAACACGAAAAAGAGAGTGTAAAGGGGGACTCCGCTCCAACAAGGATGAGCAAGTTTGCCACACTCCTTCTGCTTCCCTTTCCAGAATTCCAGTGCTGCTTCCTCCATCTGTGCAGTTTTCTAAAATATCCAGTACTTCTATGTATGGAGGAGCAAGTGACCCTCTTCCCCGGCCCCCCCCCCCCCTTCCCACATGACCGTGCTCAGGTCTAGCAGCCAATTGTGAGGCCCGAACACTGTCACACAACAGGACGAACTGCAATACCGCTCCCCTGGGTTGCCAGCACCACTCCTTATAATGCCGGCTGTGGGAGGAGAAACATTGGTAAGGTGAGAAGACAGGAGTCAGCAAAACCCTTTCCAGAGACGCCATCACTTTTCCCTGTATGTGTCCCTTTAACCCCTTGCCTACGGGGCACTATACCTCCTTCCTGCCCAAGCCAATTATCAGCTTTCAGCGCTGTTGCACTTTGAATGACAATTGCATGGTCATGCAACACTGTACCCATGACATTTTTAGCATTTTTTTGTGACAGATAGAGCTTTATTTTGGTGGTATTTAATCACCTCTGGGTTTTTTATTTTTTGCTAAACAAACCAAAAACTGAAAATTAAAAAAAAACTGTTTTTTCTTAGTTTTTGTTATAAAATTTTGCACTGATAGGCGGGCACTGATGAGAAGGCACTGGTAGGTGGCACTGATGGGCATTGACAGGCATCACTGATGGGCACTGAAAGGCAGCACTCATATGGCACTGATTGGTACTGTTAGGAGGCACTGATAGGCAGCACTGATGGGCACTGATAGGTGGCACTGATGCGCACTGATAGGCAGCACTGACAAGCACTGATAGGCAGCTCAGATGGGCACTGATATGTGGCATTGATGTGCACTGGTAGGCACTGATATGTGGCACTGATGGGCACTGGCAGGTGCCACTGATGAGCACTGACAGCTGGCATTGATGGGCACTGACAGGTGACACTGCTGGGGCTACACTGATGATCAGTGTACATGTCCCCTCTCAGGAATGCCAAGTACCGGCTCTCTTCTCCTTTGTCAGCTCGTGAGGAGAGGAATGCCGATAACCAGCATTTCCCTATTTACATGCGATCAGCTGTGATTGGACACAGCTGATCACATGACAGAGCCGACTTCTTCGGCTCTGTTGATCAGTGATACGCTGCGTCCGAGGGACTCAGCGCACTACCGATCGCCGCATGGCCCTGGGGGTTACAGTGGGAGGACATCATATGACATCCTCCCAGAACGAGAGAACCGCTCGGGCGCCCGTCATTTCCTTATATGGTGGGCGGGAGGTGGTTAAATAGCCAAATACAATAATCAGGTGGGTTGCCTTGATGTGTTTTGGCTCATACGGTGTATCCAAAACTTTGCAAATAAAGAAATAAAAAAAAAAGGAGTTACCCCTTGCTTAAGGATCAAAAACGCCACAAACACTCCTTTATATTTATTACATTTTATTTTGCATTTAGATATGATGAAAACATTTTCAAATGCTAAGGTTTGACACTAACACCCCGGGTCACACCGATCCTAACTGAAATTGTGTGACTTACAGTGAAGTCGAACAATTTCAAAAGTCTGATGACACGCCGATTTGAAGTGCAATTTGCAAGACATCTGACACCGACGTCTATGTGAATCGTACCAAAAGTAGCGCATGGACTACTTTAGAAATCAGTGCGGCTCCGACCTGCTCTAGTGCCCTTGGCTGGTGGGGAGGATCACCTGCACCTGGCCTCTGGAAGGGGTCTTTCAGTCTCGTGTTTCCTGCAGATGGCCGGAGCCATCTCTCATGTGAACCTGGGAAAAGTCTTTGATGGAGGTTCCATCTTCAGTCCGCTGCCTGGTATGAATTTGATGGTGTCTGACCAGTCCCGACTTGTGGGCAATGGACTTCCCGCACTCCAGACAGCAATATGGCTTCTCTCCAGAATAGGATCTCTGGTGGACCACCAGGTGTGAGCTATGGGTATAACACTTCCCGCACACCGAGCAATGATAGGGCCGTTCCTTGGTATCAGTCAGCTGGTGAGCGATCAGCGCCGACCTGGTACGAAAACACCTGTTGCACTCCGAACAGGAATACGGCTTCTCCCGGAATGGATCCTCCGGTGGATGATGAGGTGCGGGAAAAGATCATCTGGCACTCAGAGCAGGCGAACGGCCCTCTCCTCAGAATGGATCACTTTGTGGCTGTCCAGCAGCTGCCAACGGGTGAAGCCCCCCTCCCACAGTTGTCGCAAGCGAACGGCTTCTCTCCCGTGTGAACGCGCCGGTGTACGACGAGCTGAGACTTCATCCGGAACGTCTTCTCGCACTCCAGGCAGGTGTAACGTTTCGGCCCCGTGTGGATTCGCCGGTGTCTCACCAGCTGCTCCCTCCCGAGGAAGAACTTGCCGCACTCCGTGCAGAAAAGGGGAGGAGGCCCCCGGCGGGTCGACCGGTGGTGGAGGAAGTTGGAGTAGCCGGTAAAGATTTTCTTGCACCCGTCACAGCTGTAGATTATCACGCCGGTGCTCTGTGATAGGGGCTGGAGCGGGGAAGCTGGATGAGCTGTTCGTTCATTTCCACCTCCACTTCTTATTGAATTTCCAGCTCCTCCCCTCACCGTCCTAATATTCGATCTAAAGCTCATCCATGCATTTTGTTCCAGAGTCTCTTCTTTGTCTTCCAAAGTTATTTTCTTTAATATAGGGGGCGATGTAGAGTCTGTCTCTTTAACATAGGCAGTTGGTCTGTGTCATAGACGCCTGCATTTTGAGGCGTGTCCTCCAAAGCCTTAGCAGATGGTAGAGCTCTGGGGGTCCAGCAGTCCCCATCCAAGAGGTCTTCTTCCTTAACACTCACCATCCTGCAGTCTACCTTCACCTGAACCCCTTCCTCATACAGATTGTGCTCCTCAGCAGGATCCGATTCCTCCTTTGGAGTGCTGGAGGTCTGGATCATCTCGTCCTTTCCACATAAATCTGAGGAATATAAAGACATTTCAGTGATAGGACTTCTCTCGCTCTCTTCTGAGAAATGCCAAAACTACCCCCCCCCAACAACTTCACCTGTTCACCATGCCATTAAAAATGTTTTAACCTCTTTTAGTACCCAGTGAGAACGCTCACAGCAGCCTTTAGACATGCATGCTGCTCCCTGTTGGCCAATGGGTGCTGAAGACTTTAGCCGTGCAATCTGCTGATCACTCTATTAAAGTGGAATTAGGCAACTGATCAGCAGATTGTGCAGCTAAATTCTGCAGCATCTAGTGGCCAGCAGGAAAGAGCATGCACATCTAAAAAGAGATTTTATTTTTATTTATGTCAGGTACTTATATAGCGCTGTCAATTTACACATAATATAGATGAAAAACGGTTTGTCTCTTCCCTCTAACTGCTACATCCGCAGGACGGCTTTTTAATTTTATGTATTTATTACAGGTACTTATAGAGCACCGTCAATTTACAAAGCACTTTACATATATATTGTACATTCACATCAGTCCCTAACTCAAGGGGTGTACAATCTAAGGTCCCTAAATCACATTCATACCTACACATACTAGGGCCAGTTTAGACAGGAGCCAATTAACCTACCAGCATGTCTTGGAGTGTGGGAGGAAACCGCAGTACCCGAAGGAAACCCACGCAGGCACAGGAAGAACATGCAAACTTCAGGCAGGTGGTGCCGTGGTGTGGATGCAAATCAACGACCCAAGTACTGCCTAGAGATGCCAAGTTCTTCAAATAACATTCTAAAAGAGCATGTGCAGTAACTAACACCAGCCCTAAAGGTCATATCCACGAATACTCAAGGCACTGTATGTTTTATAAAAAGAGGATACAAATTGTGGGTGAAAATTAAAGTGTTACTAAACCCTGAACCCGCATTCACTATATGTGCTCTCCTCGGACCCCGCATTCACTATATGTGCTCTCCTCGGACCCCGCATTCACTATATTCGCTCTCCCCGGACCCTGCATTCACTATATTCGCTCTCCCCGGACCCCCGCATTCACTATATTCGCTCTCCCCGGACCCCGCATTCACTATATCCGCTCTCCCCGGACCCAGCATTCACTATATCCGCTCTCCCCGGACCCCGCATTCACTATATCCGCTCACCCTGGACCCAGCATTCACTATATATCCGCTCTCCCCGGACCCCGCATTCACTATATCCGCCCTCCACAGACCCCGCATTCACTATATCCGCTCTCCCCGGACCCCGCATTCACTATATTCTCTCTCCCAGGACCCCGCATTCACTATATCCGCCTTCCCCGGACCCCGCATTCACTATATCCGCTCTCCCCGGACCCCGCATTCACTATATCCGGTCTCCCCGGACCCCGCATTCACTATATCCGGTCTCCCCGGACCCCGCATTCACAATATCCGGTCTCCCACAGTACACAGAACATGGAAATGCAATTATTTTAGTAAATATAAACTGCTAAATCCCTTTTCTCATCAGCAGTATATAGCGATCTTGTGACTTCTATCAGTGTTCCAGTAGAGCACTGATTAAAGCTTGTAGGAGTTTTCATTTTGCTTTAGGAGGATGCAGAACCCCTGACCTCTGTCTGGACAGTGCTGATTGGCCCTGTGCTGATCACATGCACTCTCCGAAGAAAGAAAAAACTCTCTAGCAATACACACTAAACTGAGCATGTGCAGAGTGTCTCCACACAATATGTCTTATCTCCTAGATTGTAAGCGCGAAAGGGCAGGGCCCTCTAACCCTCGTGTATTGTTTTGCTACTGTATTGTCTCATTTCTTGTCCCCCATTCTAATGTACAGCGCTGAGCAAACCCTTTGGCGCTAAATAAATACTCTATTATAATAATAATAATCAGGAGATAAGAGGGGGGCACTGGAAGAAGGGGAGGAATCAGAGAAGACAGGATCAAACAGCATTTTACACAATGCAGAGGATTAACCCTTTAGGTTCTACAGCGAGTATAACAAGCATGCTTTACTGCATCTACAGACTGATTTTACTGTTGTGGGTGTAGTAACACTTTAAGTCAGTAATTTCTATTTTGTAAAGATTACATATTGAACTCACCTTTAATTAATCAAAACACAACAGCTGAACTTTCAGTTTTAACCAGCTGAATGCATCGCAAGTGTATCACAATGAAAGATAGGCAAAGTCTAACAGTTTTGTTTCTAAAAAAGCAGCCACAGCCCAAGCAGAAAAACACCCCTGCCAGCATGCTGCAGAGAAGGATCCTTGCTCTCTGCGTGGAAGTAGAGGTCTCTTTACAGAAGTCTGACACCCTCAATGCCGAATCAGAGCTAGAGCGGACCAATCAGCAGGAAGCAGCTTTGTTGGGCCTCTGCAGAGAGACCACTGCTTCCACACATAGGAAAAGACCTTCTCTACAGTCTGCAGGCAGGAGGACACAGTGGAACACCGATCGCTGTGTGGGACCTCTGTGCAATCAGTGATCACATGAATAGGTGTAAGCAAGATGTCACTTCTGACATCATTGCTTACTATGTGTGAAATCTGTTAATGATCATAGAGGTCACATGGTACATGGCTATTCACAACAGCCTTGTACCAGGTGACAAACTGTGACCAATCACAGCTCTCACAGTATTTCTCAATGGCTGCAAGAATGCAGCCAGAGAGAAGGAGAAATTATTGTTTTTACAGCCTTTATGGGTGTAAAAGCAATCAGTGTGAAAAAAAAATAAAAAAAAATCTTCATCACCCCCCACAAGTACTACAGTGTCACTATGGTGACACTGTACTGCTAGGGTGACAGTATGTAAAAAAAATAAAATAAATAATAATAATAAAAAACAAATTAAAAATAAAAATGTAAAACAAATTTTAGAAGAATTATAATTTTTGGTTATAAACTAATTTGGGTTATTTTTTTTTTTTTACTAAAAATATAACTGAATAAATTGTGGCCGAGATTTATGAAGAAAGATTATTTATTTTCAAAATTTTATAAGAAAAACACTTTTTTTCAAAATTTTTGGACATTTTCATTTATATAGCAAAAAAAATTAAAATCCCAGTGGTGAATAAATACCACCAAAATAAAGCTTTATCTGTCTAAAAAAAATGCTAAAAAATGAATATGGTACAGTGTTGCATGACCACGCAATTGTCATTCAAAGTGTGATAGCGCTGAAAGCTGAAAATTGGCCTGGGCTTGAAAGGGGGTGAAAGTGTCCAGACTTGAAGTGGTTAATAGGAACTTCACCCCCCCCCCCATGTTATCCCCCCCTCCCCCTCCTTTCCTTGTATAAGTCGGTTATCCTCAAACATCCAGAAAAGCAAGTGCTGTTCTACCGTCCAGTGCCGCCACACTATGTCATAGGGAGGCAGCTGTTTCTTGTAGATTTTTCCAGCTGGCCCCTAATGACGTGCATATGATGGATCACATCATAAGGGGACTGGAAACAAGAACAAGGAAGAGACAGCCAGCCCCACATTTGCACCTTTTATCCAAAGCCTCCTGAGATGCCTTATGTTAGGGCAGAGGAAGTACATTATATGAAAATATGCTATGTCAGTTATGTATTACAGAACTATACTCACAAAATTCTTCTATCTTTTATCTTAGCTTAGCCTTGGTAGAGACGGTGAAAGTATCCAACTATTTCTTTGTATTAACAAGCACCTGTTTCTGTTATGATACAATTAAATGTCAAATATTTCTGTCCCATGAGAAAATAATTGTTTGTTACTTATAACTAATTACAATGCCTGAGAAAGATCATGTTCACAGCCTTGAAAAGTATCTAGCCAGATTCTATTGTATGTAGCAGATAAGTTTTTATGTAATATTATAGACATTCCTTATTGGGAAAGTTAAATTTTGCTTCTCATCATTATTCAGGATTGACGTAAATGCTTGTATTTGTATTCAGCCAATCAATTACTGAGAATTAAGTTTTTCCCAGATACTCTGTGCCCCCCACCTTTCTTTTTTTGTTATATTAATCCTCTTCCCGCTAATAAAAAATGTAGATTAATTTCACCTACACTGTGTGCACTTGTCTATTACTTAGGTGAAGTTAGTCTTCTGGACGTCCATACCTTCAAACAGACTGATCAAGACAGATAGCCAGGGGCTAGCGACAACCTTTCAATTGGAGGTCCCACCGAGATCGGGAGGTCAACCCGTTTGCGGTCACCCGGTAAGATAAACAAAATCTGTCTGTCTGTCCGGCTGTCCGTGGGCTCTGACTAAACTCTCGATCTCTGAACTGTGACAGGAGTATTCTGGGAATACTTCATTGAGTCTCAGGGAGACTCAGATAAGGAAAGGTGATTTCTGTAGACGGGGTCTACATTTAAAATACCTAGACAGGGTCTAGGTATAATTACAGAGTCTTAACGAGTCTGTTGAGGGTAACCAACTTTCTTTTCTTTGCTTCTATTATCAAATGCATAGAGTATAAGATAATTTGTTTATGCAAATA